CATACTTTAACATAAGAAACACCCTCCCGAAGTTTCGTCCATTCCTCCTGGGACCCTGTATATATATATATATATACACACATGTGTGGGTCTCAAATTTTGAAGAGTAAATAAAGCACAAAGGGGTTCTCAGACTTGAGTTAGACATTGATTTTTCAGTCTTAAAACTATGAGAATTTCTGTGTAACTGCTTTTTGCTTTGCACAACACACAGTAGCAGCCAAACAAATTGCCAGAGTCATATGTTTTATTTGCAAGCATTGTTTTACTGCTGTTTTAAGTTTCATATAAACCAATTTTTGAAACTATGACAATACGGTGTTCATTATAATGGTGGTTTTATTTTGTAGGAAATTTCCCCAAATTTCAAATTTGATTCGGATGTGATACTTTCGAACGTGTCATCTGGCCAGAGAGCTGAGAACAAAGAGAGGCCTCTTACGTCATCTCAGAAGAGTCGCCGAAGCCGCGCTCTTAAATCAGAGAAGACTGCTTCACCAGAACCTGGAAAAATTACTGACTTATCTGGTGTTGCCGAGCTTTTTAATTCTCCAGCGAAAGCAACAAGTACAAGGAAAAGAGCATCTCTCGTTTCTGGTGATACTGTACAGACTCACAATGCTGTTCTTTCAGAAGGAAGACATTCAAGCGATAACTCTGTAGACCTTCATACACTTAACATTTTTGAGTTACAAACTGATGTCAGCTCGGGCAAGAAAACTCCTAAAAGCACTGCACGTCAGTCACTGTTCAAGAGCTTGATGAAGAAATCAATCAAGCATAACTCAGCTTTAATTGATGATAGTATGGGGAATGCTGAGACACTTGGGTTTCTTCCAGACATCTCTTATGTGGGGAGAGAATCTAGGAGTGTAAGTGTTGGCTTTCCTGTTACCAGTGAAGAGACTAATCAGTCATCTTCAAGGAAGTCTAGATATTTGTCTGGAAAGTGGTCTTCAAATTCTGAGCCTCATTCTCCTGCCACAAGGAAGTTTTCATCATCACCAGAATTGGAACAGAAAGTAAGACCACTTACTGTGTCAGGCACTCCTGTTTCTGAGCAAACCGCTTCAAGAAGAAGTTCAAGAATTGGCGTGCATTCTCCAGAGTCTGTGAAATCAACTTCAAGTTCACTGTCAAAGTTTGGAAGTAAAGGAACATCATTTCCTCCAGGCACACCTGTTTCTGAGCTAAGTGGTTCGATAAGAAGATCCAGGAGTTCCATAGTGACACAGTCTCCAAAGTGTGACAAATCAGATTTAAAATCACTGCCAGGCACTAACAAAAAAGGAAAATCTGTTTCTCCTAGCATGTCTCCCTATAATAAGACTGCTTCAGCAATGGACTTGATGGATACAGGAGGTGCTGGTTCATCTCCAGGGTCCATAGTTCAGAATTTTACATCCACATGCTTGAGGATGTCTTCAGGGTCTTCAGCAGGAACAGGTAAAGGAGCAATATCTGTTTCAGGCTCATCTGTGTCTCCAAAAAAACCAGATTTGGTTAAGAATTTGTCTTCATATTTAGATGAAGAAAGCCCCAGTTCTTCTGGCTCAAGATTTAAAAAATCATCAGAGAGACATGTACGTACATCATCCAGATCAGGGTTTTCTCTGGATGTTGTTTCCCCCCAGAAGAGTATGTTGCTGCAAGAGCGCAAGACCCGTTCATCGCAGAAACGAATAGCTCATTCCAGTATGAACCAGACACAGTCCCCAACTCCAGTCTCCCAGAATACAACTTTTGATTTTGATTCTGTGAGAACTCCTCATATTCCTGTGGAAAATCTTGTGTCCCCTCTTTCCTCCAACAGGAAACGAAAAAGTTTGGGGTGGCAGGATATAAGTATGATTTTGCAGAAACGAAACTCTGAACCTGCTATTAAGAAACGGCATATCAGTGAGAGGGTTGATGGGAATGTCACCTTTTTAAATGACAGCAGTGTACATCCATTATCTCCACAACAGTTGTTTTCATCGTCATTAATTGATGAACCCATTCATACATCTCGTTCTGCAGGACAAGGATGGGAATCTTATGATAACTTTTCTCCTGGACTAAAGACCTGTGTCTCTTCCAAAAATGCTTCACCTTATGTCCATGCTATACAAAATATCAAGAACATGTCGCCAGCAGTTAGCCTTTCAGGTCGTGGTAGAATCCATAGATTTTCAGCAGGCTCTAGAATTTCACAATCATTTGGAAATAACATGAACAATATTAGTGGTGCGCTACAACTAATGAAAACACCAAGTAGTCCAAAATCTCCTGTGAATGACTTGCCAGATGTGAATGGAGGAGAAAAACTTACGACAGTTCGAAGGACGTCAAAATCTCCAAAAGATGGTTTGACGGATGTACATGTAGTGGAGCAGCTTATAAAGGACCCAAGGAGTCCAAAATTACCCAGAAGTGAACTGAAAGATGTATGTAATATGAGGAGACTTACAAAAACACCGGGGAGTCCAAAATCACCCAAAAATGGCCTGAGAAATGTTCGTGGTGTGAGGAATGTTATGAAAACGCTGAGGAGTCCAAAATCCCCCCAAAATGATCTGAGAGATGTTCGTGGTGTGAGAAACCTTATGAAAACACCTAGAAGTCCAAAATCTCCTAAAAATGATTTGAGAGATGTTCGTGGTGTGAGGCAACTTCTGAAAACGCCGAGGAGCCCAAAATCTCCCAAAAATGATCTGAGAGATGTTCGTGGTGTGAGAAATGTTATGAAAACACCGAGGAGTCCAAAATCCCCCCAAAATGATCTGAGAGATGTTCGTGGTGTGAGAAACCTTATGAAAACACCTAGAAGTCCAAAATCTCCTAAAAATGATTTGAGAGATGTTCGTGGTGTGAGGAACCTTATGAAGACACCTAGAAGTCCAAAATCTCCTAAAAATGATTTGAGAGATGTTCGTGGTGTGAGGCAACTTCTGAAAACGCCGAGGAGCCCAAAGTCTCCCAAAAATGATCTGAGAGATGTTCGTGGTGTGAGAAACCTTTTGAAAACACCAAGGAGTCCAAAATCTCCCCGAAATGATTTGAGAGATGTTCGTGGTGTGAGAAATCTTATGAAAACACCTAGAAGTCCAAAATCTCCCAAAAATGACTTGACAGATGTCCGTGGTGTGAAGAGACTTATGACAACTCCCCAAGTTACAAGATCACCTAAGAATGATATAACTGATGTTGATGGAGTAAAGGAACTTATGGAGACTCCGAGGTCTGGTGCACATGGCTTGACAGATATTGATGAGCATTGTCTGGAGAAAACTCCAACTTCACCCAGTCCTAGGTCTGGCAGTCGTGCATCGTTGACGCACAGTAAACTAAAGACCCCAGAAAGGTACAGTGTAGATGGGACAGTGCCTTCCATAGCCACAAGGACACGTCATAGACAGGCATCTGGGAAAACAGCTCCTATCAAGCATAGTCCAAAATTTATTAAAACAGAAGTCCCAGAAGCAGACAGAAGTGATGCAGAGGGCTCTCTTGACCAGAAGAATATCTCAGTGCATGAAGAAGTAAAGGTAAATGATTATAGTTAATTCTGTTTGTATTTACTGAGATGTAGGTCACATTCCTGTTTTCAGTCTGAAAATGTATAATTTTGACCTGTGCATGAATAAATATAAACGGGAAATTCCTAATGGATAAGAGAAATGAGGGGAAAGACTAAGTGACCATGGTGTTGGTAGTATCAGTGGCAGTAGTAGTGTATGAAATCTGAGATTTCTGGGGCAGTGAAAACTTAAATTGTGATATTACAGTACCATGTAGGCTTGCAAATGGTGAACAGTTTTGAAGGAATCCTCATTATGGCTTCTGTGAAAGATTCTGAGGCGGCTGAGTCCTCCAAAATGGTAATCACAAAACCCCACAGTGTTGTAACAAAGTGTTAGGATCCAAAAGCAGAAGTAATTTCCAAGTGTTGCATGCATGTGAAGGAGGTTCAAGGGGGCTTTTAATGTATAATACTCCGAGTACATCAGAATTCGCTGCCAACAGCATGAAATACACTCTATGCAAAGATGACTTTGATCCTTACTTGGGTGGATATTCCATTCATTGTCTCTCACAGCCTTGGCGCAAAACTGTTGGCTCCACTTTTAGGTTGTGCCATCGATGAGCAACGTGCTGTGGTTTGATTTTTGGTCAGACTTGATTTTTCTTTTCCTTTGTCCTCTGTATAGGCTGGATATCACCCTCTGGGACTGTACCTCTTCGGGGTGTCAAAAATGCGTTATGTAGATGTCAGTTTTCAAAACGTGAATGCAGATGGCTCTTGTTTGGCTTCAGAAACAAGCAGAACATTCTTTTTAGTGGGTGTCGGGAAGCTGGTGGACGGATTAGTGTTTGGGTGGGTAAGGGCGTTGCATCTACAATTGTTTTTTGCCATCTGGTAGCTTTAACAAGAAATAAAAATGTTTGCCCATTCTGAATACCCTTGTACATATTTTACATAAAATGAGTTGAAGGATGTACCCATATATCTTAAGTCTTAACATCAAGAGCAAAATGGAAGATGAAATGTGCTTTAATTGTTGTCCCACTTCTTCCCTACACAGGATTTGAAATGCATCCCACATAGAAAGGTGTCAGTATAGAGACGGGGCTACAAGCTAAATGGTCAAGGAATCCAGATTCAGTTCTTAGCAGGGACGGGATATTTTTCTCTTCTACACAGTATTCACATTGGCCCTGGAGCCTACCCAGCCTCCCATCCATTGGTAATGTGGGTGCGGCTTCAAGCTAACCAATTGTCTTTATGAATAGCAGGGTTAAGAATGTTTGGAGCCATACCTCCTCCTTATATATCTTAATAACATGATGCTAAGTTAAGCACAGGGACAACTTTGCCTTTTTACTTATAAATAATATGTGTAGATCTGAGAATGTAATTGTAAGAAAAGTAAGATTTTGGCATATCTCTATGTATTGAATCCCTGTTGAATACAAAAAAGTATTCTGATGCCGTCTGTATGTATGGATATGCGCATTGCTGGCTCCCGAACATGGATTTTATTCATATTCAGCATTTAATAACTGAGGTTGGTGCACAGTATATATGAACATTCATGCATAAAAAATAGAGACCATTCAAGCAGGCCCAAAGAAAAAAAATGGCTATTTTCTCAAAGATTTTGAGTAAATTTCTGTAATTTAGGCAGACTGTCTCCCAAAATAAAATTGCACAGGCGGTATCTTTGGGAAGATAATTGTATATGCATTAGAGGCCTATACATGAAATGTGTCTCTTGACAAAACCAGTTTTAATTGTTCAGCAGTTCTATAAAGGACAGTGGTTTACAAAGCCGCAGCCAGTTTCCTTTCTGAAGTAACATATTTAAGGCCTGTAATATATGAGAAACTATTTATGATGTCTTTGCACCAAGTTTTTGCTTTTACAGGAAGTAAACTTGTTCTCATGCAAACTTATTATATTAACTCAAATAATGTTGATTTGAAGATATGAGGGAAGGAGCACTTTTATTAGTGGATGCTGTATTAGGTATGCGAGAACTGTATGCCAAATTGTCAGTTGTAAATAATGTCATTGTAGTTTTTGTGTGTGTGTGTGTGTGTGTGAGAGAGCATTTTAATGGCTTTTCTTAATCTTTCTTTCATATTTTAGACAAATAATGCAAGAAGCAGGCGCAACAGAAAAGGACCAGATCTTGGCATAGTAAAGGCTGAAATTGCAGACAGAAGTACCACACCACGGTCGAAGAAAAGACAGAAGGAGAATAAGGCACAAAATAAAGAGGACCTTTCACCAGAAAAACATTTGGACATGTCAGTTGAGTCCACTGATACATCTCTTTCCTCTGCTAGAGCACAGAACAGAGTACACTTTGGTATCCCCAATAGCCCAGACATCCCAGTGGCTCAATTTACAAGGAAGAAGAGAGGTGTGGTTGATGCTGCAGTGCAACAACGGTCCTCTCCACCTGGAACAAGAAAAACACTGAGATCAAAAGGAAGTGTGAAAGGGGAATCTATTGCAAAGGAAGATATAAATGACCAATCAGTCTCTTTGCCAGCTGTTAGGAAAACACGAGGTACAAAGTTGACTTCTGCAGTTGAAGTGGCTTCATCTCCAGCAAGAAGAAAGCGAGGAGCTAAAGTAGCAGCTGATGCAGAATCATCTCCTGTACCTTCCAAAAGGCGGCATGGTGTTATTGCCCAGAGTAATACAGAGGAGTCGTCTCCTCCCAGAACAAGGCGAGGCACTGTTACCACTGGTTCAGAACTATCTTCATCACCTAAAAGACAGCAAGCTGTCATTGTGACTATGAATGCCAAACCTTTGCCTCCAAGAACCCGAAGCCGTGCCATTGTTTCTACTGAAACGGAAATTCCTGAGTCTCCAGTTACAAAAAAGACCAGAAGTAAATTGACTCTCAAGACTGCGGTAACTTCACCACCAGTTGCCACAGCTGTGCCACAGGAAGATTCCTTTACATCTGCTAATAAACAGCTGACATCTGAAGTTTCTCCATCACCAGCTGGTAAAAGGCGGAAACAAACCAAAGCAGTTGAACAATCAGCTACAAAACCTGCGAGAAAATTGCGAGGCACAAAGTTATCAGGTGAGTTTTCTGGTATATGTATAGGGCTGGAACATATGAGGATAGACAGGATATTTTGATATTATTTCCCCTCAGTCCTGACCCTATTATGGCATGTCAGCTTGTTGAGGTTCTCATGTAGTTTTGTTGTTAGTATACAAATATGGTCTGTCTTCATGGAACCAGGTGACTATTATGCTGCCCCCATAAATAGGGTCTTATATTTCATCCGAAGTGTAGGATTAATAAAGGGTTAGTCAAAGGGGAAGCACAATATGTGGTCTGTTGATTTGGATGCTGTCAGTATTTTAACTTACAACCTGTTCTAACTGGGTTGGAGAGATGTGTGATAGCAGATTGCCATGAGAGACATTCATGTGGCACTTTATAATGAAATCTTAGATTTTACTGCACAAGCACTAGTTATTTTAGTCAGTCATTTCACTCCTGTACTTAGAAGCATGAATCTGAAGAAGAGTAGAAATGGAACATTTTTGTTGTCTAGTTCACAGTGCTGTACATTGGCACAGCTTAATGTTTGAAAGATTCACGTTGGTTTGTACCAACTGCTTTTCTATGACAGGAGGCCAGAGCAAATTTTAGAAGTTCAGCTTTAAGTAGTGGTTGTGTGTGTTATTAATACAGGAGCACACCTCTATGCTCTCAGGCAACAGGTCATGGTCACTAGAAGCATACCTTAACACAAAGTGAAAACGTTTTTTGAGACATCGAGGCTCCCACATTTTCTACACATTTGGCTCACAGATGGTGGTGAAGTTGCCAGCCTTATACACCGGCCACCCTTTACCCCCAGGAGGATTCCTGTTACTCATTTCTGTTAGAGGCTGAGTTGATCCCAGGACCATACTATGCCTGGAACGATTAGGTCAGTTGAAAAATCCAGTGACCCCATCGGGAATCAAACCCTTGACCATCTACCTTGTAGCATAGTGCTTCAACCAGCTATGGTACTGTGTGCCATGAATATTAATCACCGTCTTTTATGTATACAGAGATGTTAGAGGATCTGTTTTGAAGTCAGTGTTATAGGATATTATGTTTGGTGTGTGTTAAAAATGTTCTTGACAGAGCATAAGGTGCACCCTTATGATTCTTAATTCGAACCATTTTTCCTATTTTAAGATGTCTCAGAAGATGAAACTGGACCGTCTGATACTAAAACAAGAAGCAGGAAACCAAGGATCATTTCAAGTCCTGTGTTAAAGGCAAAATCACCACCTGTTGTAACAAGAAGGTAAGTGACTTGTGTTGCTCATCTCTCAGGATTGGAGGAGGGGGGGGTCAAATCTCTTCCACTGCTAGAAGTACATTGTATCAAGCCATGGGTCATACATATATAAATACTGATGAAACTCAATCCCTCTTAACTCATAAGTATAAATATATGGATTTGGGAGTTGGGATTGTAATCGCAGTATGTAGTGTGTGTTGCGTTAAGTGGTAGGATGATAGATGAATGGTGAATTAGGATTGGGAAGGAGCACTCATGGCATCATTGAATACTGTCCCAGCGTTTGCCTGGACTGACATGAAATCCTGAATGCGAGTCTGGTCCCTTACTACCACACCAACCCACTTGGCAATACTTTAAATTTGCTCTCTGAAAATACCTACACAACATGAATTGAAAGATCGAGATGTAAATGCTGTAGAATTATCACATAACTTTTGCTTAGATGTAGTATACCTGTGATGTATCAGGTAGGCAGTTTCAGCTTTTAGTCAGCAGCATTTTGTAGCCATCAAAGTAGTTAATGTCACTGAGTGGGCAAGTGCCACAGGGCCATAACAGTAAGCCATTTTACAGGGTTATTCAAAAAGAATGAAACGATTTCATGACGCATTGCTTCAGTTCTCAAGCATCGTCATGGAATGAGTCAGTGACCATTTGAAAGAGAAGTTATCTAAGTCGTGAATGGCTGCCACAGGGGCGCTGAAGTCGCGTCGTTCTTCCGGCGACGTTCAGTTGTTTGTTTACCCTTGGAATGGCGAGTCTTCAGCAAAAGGCTTTTTGCGTTCTCGAGTTTGCAAAAACAAATTTGGTTGTCACGGTGCAGCGTGCTTTTCGAAGGCGATTCGGCATTTATCCACCCTTTCCTAAGAACATTTGACAGTGGTTTTGACAGTTTCAAGAGAGTGGGTGTCTGTGTAAAGGAAAAAGTCCAGGATGACCACGAGTCTCGGAGGAACAAGTGGTGAGAATCCGTGCTGCGTTAGAGAGGAGCCCGCGGAAGTCAACAAATCGAGCTAGCCGTGAGCTTGCGATCCCTTAATCCACTGTCTGGCGTGTGCTAACAGTACGTCTACATTTGAAACCAAACAGACTGGAGCTCGTTCAGGCACTTACCAATGATGACAAAAGGAAGAGGATGGAATTTTACGAATCAATGCTGGAGATGATGGAAGACGAAACCTTCATTTCACATTTAATTTTTAGTGATGAAGCGACTTTTCACTTGAGCGGCACAGTCAGTCGTCGCAATGTGCGTATTTGGGGAACAGAGCACCCACATGAAACAGTTGAGCACGAAAGAGATTCCCCTAAGGTGAACGTCTTCTGTGCTGTGTCTCAGGACAAGGTTTATGGTCCCTTTTTATTTGAAGGAAACACTGTTACAGGACAAACCTATCTCGATATGCTCCAAAACTGGCTCTTCACTTCACTGCAAGCAGATTTGCATGACTTCATTTTTCAACAAGATGGAGCACTGCCCCATTGGCACCTGATGGTCCGAGCTTTTTTAAATGAAAAAGTGCCCCTGTGATGGTTTGGTTGGAAGGGGACCAAAGACCTTGCTCTTTGTGTTGGCCTGCGAGATCCCCAGACCCCACCGTGTGCGATTTCTTCTTGTGGGGATATGTAAAAGATCACGTTTATGTTCCAACGCTACCCACTAACCTCGATGACCTTAAACATTGAATAACAACAGCGATAACAGTGCTGATACGCACCTGGGAGGAATTCTCTTATCGCATTGATGTTGCCCATGCTGCAGGTGGTGGCCACATTGAACACTTGTAAGACAGGAAATAAAAGTTGATTGTGAGTAGAATACTTGTGACTTGACTGGAGTTTTGTATTACTTTCCCTTAATAAAATATTCCATAATAAAATTGGTTCATTCTTTTTGAATAGCCCTGTATTATCAATTAAACTTCTGTTCTAGATGGAATTTTCAGAATAGATCCTTGCACCTGTTTATAAACATGAGTGGGGTTCTGTCAGTAAGGTGACCAGCTCTCTTATATGCTGGATGGCAGGTTTTCCTTGCCATATTCAGAATGATTGTGAGCCCCTGTTCTGTCTGTGCCATTGACCACATCCCAGGAGTAAAGTTTATTTTTACTCGTAACTTTACTTTTTACCAATTGTAAAAAATTTTTGGAAGTGTGAAATAAATCAATGTCATGGCAGAATTTGTAGAATAGGTTTGAATCCAGTTGTCATGCCCTGAGACTAACGTTGACATTCGCTTTTGAACGTGTAATTTCAGAGGTGGGAAGCGGTCCGCTAAGAGAGAAGTGAGCCCAGAAGCAGTAACAGAACGTCGAACACGTGCAAGTCGAAGAAGGAAGTAATTTTTACACAGGGTTTGTAAATTACACTGAACTCCTTTATAAAGTAAAGATATCCTTATGCATTTCATCAAGGCTCTTGTTTCTTCCCCCCACCCCTTTTTTCCCTGTGAGTCTAGTGTGTTCTGAGCAAAGCATATGACAGTTTCCTCTAAATGTTTTCATTCTGCAGAGACCAATGGAATTTTCAGGTTAATAGTTGAATATGATGCATTTCTACTCATAATTCTTAGTACAGATTTCCATTATCTGAAGCTGATCAGATATTTCTTCCTTGCCATGTTTTTAATTTTTTAACAAAAAATAATGCTTTTGAATGTACATGATTATCTCCATACCATATTTCAGATATCAGATTGAAAGCTCAGGAGATTTTGTGGGACCGGTTTCTTATTTTGTGTTACACAAAAGAAATTGTCTTCACAAAAATGTGTATTTTGGAAGGTTTATCAAGTACGTTTTAGCACTGCATTAGATGTCTAGTGGTATTGAGAACTGGCCGCACCATAGCTCAAGCGGTTAGTCACTGGCTTCCCACCGCGGCGGCCTGGTTATCATCCCAGGTCTGGTCAAGTGGGATTTTTGGTGGACAAAGTGGAGCTGGGGCAGGTTTTCTCCGAGTAGTTCGGTTTCCCCTGCCAATCTTCATTCCACTAATTGCTCCACAATCACTCTCACCCATCATCTGGGGCTGGTACAGTAGGCCAGAAGTGGCCACAGTACAAGGGACTTAGTCCCACCCCACTAGCAATAAAAAAATCATTGAGAAAATGTATTGTTTTACAATCATGACTTTAATTATAATTCCAGAAAGGTGAAAGTTTCACATGAATATTAACACATTGACTGACATGCAGGTATTACACACACACACTCACACACACACACACACACACACAAGAGGCTGGATTTATAATTTAGTCACTTCAGAATGGAAGTAGAAAGGAATAAGTGACAAACAAGCAACACTTGCTGCGTCCTTGCCATTAGTTACTCTATATGAGTGCACTCTATAGGCTGACAAGTGTCAGGATTGGCCTGGTCATATGATAAATGCAGCCCATCAGGTGACAGGATTGGCTGTGAATGTGTTATGGATCCCAATTTGTGTGCTTCGCAGAATTGCTAGAACAAGTATGGTGATAATGCTGGCTGATTTGGTTTCATATATTTCATAATTGGGAATTCTAGAATACAGAAATAAATATTATTGTGAAGAATATGATCTGAGATGGTCTGGTGTAAGTGCACAAATGTTTTGGAGGAACATGCTCCTTCTGAGTTCAGGATCAAAGAATAAGCAACCTCTAGATTAGCCATCTACTCGCAGCAGTCCCACACTCCAGGTGGAGCACAGTACTTTGCTTAATTGAGTGTTCCACAAGTAATTTGGCTTCATGAGATGGAGCCCCAGATGGTGAAATCAGGGAATCTCCTGGGACAAGATGATGTGTAATGCAATTCACCAGTGTTGCTGAAGAACGTACTGTGACCATCTTCAGGATCAAACAATGGGACCATTCAACCAGCAAGACGTAGGCAAGAAACAGAGTTCAAATGTTACAATTAGCTAGAACCTGATAGACATGTAAGCTGTGTGCAGCTGTTTCTTCTTTGTTAGGGGGCTGTTTACTAGTGAACATGGAAATTAGCCAGTTAGAGAATGTTCATGTATGTGAAAGGTTAACAATATCACTTTTACATGTTTTAGTGTATACAGGTATGTTCCTTTCTCATTTCAGGTGCAGAATTTGTGCACTCATACTCTGCGTGGATACTTAGATGCCACATTTGTGCTTATTATGAGAGTCTGCAGTATAATCATATAAATGATAATTCATTGTATACTTTCCTAACCTCAGAAAATGTAAATATCTTAAAAATCTTTTAACTTTTTATTGTACAATGTGTATTTTTATAAGAAACCATTTTGGTGGAATGCTAATTACATCATAAACTGAGAGCTTAGACAACGTTTTCATGAGGTGTTGGATTTAAAATGTTTAGACACTGGCCTTAGTGTGTTGCCTTTTAAAATGTGTGGTACAAAATTTGTATGAATTTGTTATTCTGTTGACATCATATGTTACAATTCAGTTTTGTTTACGAGTTGTTTAAAAATCTTTGAGCATGTAACTTCTGTAAAATTATAGCATTTAAACTCCTGGGTACTGGAGTGTACTGCATCCATGAACACCAATTTCTGTAAAACTCTGTTTCAAGTAAGGGAATCACCTTTAGAGCAAGCTGACACTTGCAGCCAAGGTAAAAGTTGTGGAAGTATGTGTAAATGGATGCAGTATAGAGTAGAGAGAATTGTAAGAGTGCATAATCTCATTTTCACCCAGAAGTGGAGATGGATCACTCCAGTATTTGGGTGTGAATGTCTTGTGGCACAGATTCGCAGCTATTGGTCTTGGAAACAGCCATTGTGTCTTCTTTAGAATTATTGATGTGTATTATAGAATGGTGGTATCTAATGATCCAGTATTCCATTATTGAAGAATGTAATAAATTATGTCACTGTTGTTTTAACAAAAGAAATTTTTTTATTAAGTATCACTCTGTTTAAACAATAAAGATCTCAACAAAGACCTTTCATCTTTATAGTGAAAGCCATATTTTTTCATGTGCATGTTAAGTATGCCTAAAGCACAGTATAGTCTAATAAAGTAGAGAGGCAACAGTATTCTTTCACATCAGTGATGAAGGAAGATGTACTGTGTTCCTGAGTTTGGTTGCCATTGCTAACTAGCAAGGAATGAATGAAAGTGGTTTGCAGCAGGATGCTGCAACAGTAGAATAAGTTGTGTAAGTAAAAATGATATGGGTGGTGGCATCAGGGCTATAAATAATGAGGAGGAAGGAGAAGTTAAGCAAAAGTAAGGTTTGTGAGTTCAGACTGCTGTTGTATGTGGCCTTTCAGCTTCGACAGGAAATTCAATGTGTGGTTTCAGGAGCAACTAATTTGTGATGCCGTGCGGATTGGTACCGATATGTTTTGGGAATCTATAAAACGTTAACTAAGAACACCATACTAACCTATAATACGACCAAGAAATCACACGTTGAAGACATGAGCACAGGATGCAATTGCGTGTGTTTGGATTGCCTGGAACCAAACAAAATTTATTTTGTCGGAATATTTCGATCTTTAAAAATTCTGTTTTCTGTGGTTTGGCCAGAGTGCGCCAATGGTTAATATTCAGTGCCTATAGTCNTTCAGGAGGGACTAATTTGTGATGCCGTGCGGATTGGTACCGATATGTTTTGGGAATCTATAAAACGTTAACTAAGAACACCATACTAACCTATAATACGACCAAGAAATCACACGTTGAAGACATGAGCACAGGATGCAATTGCGTGTGTTTGGATTGCCTGGAACCAAACAAAATTTATTTTGTCGGAATATTTCGATCTTTAAAAATTCTGTTTTCTGTGGTTTGGCCAGAGTGCGCCAATGGTTAATATTCAGTGCCTATAGTCTAGTAATCCGTGGTGTCTTTCGAACTATGCGATGTGATTGGCTAAAGTATTGTCCCCTTCCTCTTTTCGAATGGAACATAAGACGGTGTAAGCCACGTGTATGTTCTGTTAAAATAATTGGTTTGTTTTTCCTCTATGAAGTTTCTAAAATGCAAACTTACACGAAATGTGTGTGCATTACGTTAATGGCGATATATATGAAATAAAGATAATCTACGAAATAGCTTTTTCTTGATTGCACATAGCCTTAGAGACTAGGCTTACCGGCGTGGTAATGTCCGCGTAATATTAAAATTGACGTCACTTTTGTGCATATTTTGAAGAATCTGAAATAAAAATGCTTAAAACGTTGATTAGATATTTGTAGTGAACTGCCTTCGATGTTCGATTTAGGTTACTAATATTTGAAATAATATAAAACTAAACTGATCGAACGAGTAGCCAAAGGAAAAGTGAGATAGGATCAGACGCCGCGTTATAATGTGATATGCACCAGGGACATTAAAAGCTTGCATTTAAATCCGTCACAGGAATTTATAAGTCCAATTTCTGTGAATTTTCAGTGTTACTCTTATACAACAATGCCCATTTAAGGGGTGTGCTTCAGTGCAAATTTCAAAGTATTATTTTGGATCTTTTTCACAGTATAACACAATCTCAACATGAAATAAAACCTAACCAGGGAGACAAAATGATGTGTCGATCCGTAATTGCTGATCATATTAAAACCAAAATATGTGGAACAAAGTCGCAAATAATAAAATTGAATATTAGTATATGCATGAAACTTTGTCACTACTAGAAATCTAATATGTAATCGCCTTCCAATGATTAATTTTTGTGGTCTTAATAGGTAATTTCTCTTACATGATTGAGGATGACTTGTATGACTGTGTGGCTATTGAATATTGCTTCCTGTTTATTATTAAGAAATCTTATTTTCCTGTCTTTTGGCGGGCATCATTATGTATGTAAGTGTTCAAGGACACATTACCCTTTTCACATATCTTTCATATTCATCCACTGATGGAGCTAAGCCCTTCTGGAGGAGCAGTCAATTGTGCAGCTACTCAAGAATTTCCCAGCATTTTATGGAACCCAAAGGTTCATTACCGTGTTCACAAGAGCCCTCCACTGGTCCCTATCCTGAGCCAGATCTATCCAATCCATACCATCCCGTCCTATCTCTCTAAGATCCATTCTAATATTGTCCACCCACCTATGCCTTGGTCTTCCCAGTGGTCTCTTTCCTTCTGGCTTTCCAACCAATATCCTATATACATTCTTCTTCCCCATTCATGCTACATGCCCTGCCCACCTCAACCTCCTTGACTTGATCATTCTAATTATACTTGGAGAAGAGTACAAATTATGAAGCTCCTCATTATGCAGTTTTCTCCAACCTTCTGTCACTTCATCCCTCTTCGGTCCAAATATTCTCAACACCTCGTTCTCAGACACCCTCAGTCTGTGTTCCTCCCTTGATGTCAGAGACCAAGTTTCACACCCATACAGAACCACAGGCAAATTATAGTTTTGTATGTTGTAATTTTTATGTTTTTGGACAACAGACGAGAAAACGAGGTTCTGGACTGAATGGTAGCAAGCATTACCCGAGTTCAGTCGCCTCTTAATTTCCTCCTGAATCAGGTTTCGATCTGTTATCGTTGTTCCCAAATATCTGAACTGTGCCACATTTTCGAAACATCTGTTTCCTATTTTTATGTCTTGATTTTGCCCTGCATTTTGGTGATGAGACAGTAACATATACTTATTTTTCTCTGTGTTTACTTCTAGACCAACCTCTTTACTTCCGTCAATTAAAGTTTGTTTTTTTTTTCTTTATGGTATCTACATTATCACCCAGTAGATTCACATCATCAGCATAGACCAACAGCTGATGTGTCCCGTTTAATTTCAGTCCCACGTGGTTTCCCTAGACCTTCCTAATTGCATATTCTAAGGCAAAGTTGAAAAGAAGTGGTGATAAAGCATCTCCTTGTTTTAGATCATTCTGGATAGGAAATTTATCTGACAAACGTCTACCTACACGGACTTTACTATATGTTTCGTTTAAACACATTTTAATCAACCTAACTAGTTTCGTGGGTATCCCAAACTCTATTAAAATATTGTACAATACTTCCCTCCTAACTGAATGATAGACTTTTTTGAAGTCTATGACTAGCTGCTGTACTGTCTTATCGTACGCCCATGTTTTCTCTAATATCTGACTAATGCAAAAGATCTGATTTATAGTTGATCTGTTACACTAATGATCCCCAATAATTTCATCTATATATAACACTACTAACTAATAATGTTAAAGATTTAGAAGTGGATCATGTATAACTTTTTTCATATTTTCCAGTGTTCTGCTGCATAGATTTTTGTGTGCACCATGTTGTCATTGGCAGTAGAAGATTAAATATTTTGGCCTTGAGTTGGCCATGATGCAATAATATCCATACCACATATATGAAGATTGGTCAACTGTTTGGCAAGTTAAATGGAGTAGGGACATGCAGAGAGGAAATGGTATAATTAGCATTCTCTTTTCTCCTTAGGGGACTGTTATAGGCTATGAGTGTTCTCTTTCAGAGAAACTATATAAAACACACTTCACATTTATTTACATAAATTATTTCCCATTTTCCTTAAAGAAATTACCTCAACCTATATTATTTGCAGATGACCAAGTATTATTATATCTAATTCGAGTCCTGAAGAATTTAGACAATATTTCAGTTATTACTAAAACAATGACATCGTTTAACAGGAACTTTTTAACTCTAAATTGTGATAAAACACATTTCTTGCAATTCTTTTTAAAAAAGCATAGAGAAATAGAAATTAAAATTACATCAACCAACTCATTAACTACTAACATCAATTGCACTAAATTTTTGGGAATAAATATTGATAGCACCCTGTCTTGGAAGAATCATATTACTGAGTTATCATCAAGATTAAATAAGGCCTGTTTTGCAATAAAGCCCTTTATGTCATTAGATTCAATAAAGATGATTTACTGCTCTTATGTTCATTTGATACTGAAGTATGGCATTATCTTTTGGGGTAATGCCCCCCTTAGTATGAGTATCTTTAAAATTCATAAAAGAATCATAAGAGTTATGCCTGGTTCAGCAAATTTGATTCGAGTCGGGATGTGTTCAAAAAATTACAAATATTGCCGCTCCAGTCTCAATATATTTTTCCCTTCATTTCGTTATTAAGAATAAAAATTACTTTACAGTCCCGATTTGGCACCAAATGATTTTTACCTGTTCGGAAGGCTCAAATCAGACTTGCAAGGCATGCGGTTTGTGGACAATGACGCCATCATTCAGAATGTTCGGGAGTGGATACGCCGCCAACCACAAAACTTTTTTGAAAAGGGCATCATGATGCTTCCAGAACGTTGGAAAAATTGTGTTGACTCCGGAGGGGAGTACGTTGAAGACTGACATGTGCAAGTAAGTGTTTGGCAATTTTGGTTTAAAAAAAAAATCAGTCCCGGTCATATTTGAACCTCCTTATATTTAAATCAGGACTGCAATTACTTACAGCTCTGGTTCTCTGCTGAACTGTTGAACCTCATTTAGTATGTGGCCCATTGGCTGCAACCCAGTGTCTTCAGCAGATTACTTCCTAAGGCTAAGGTTGAGAAGAGGAAGTCTGCAGCCTAGGCCAGTCAACTACAGGTTAATGTCAAGGTAAAGCTTCCAAGGTGACAAACCATTAATGGAATAGGAGAGAAAATTCCTGTTTAAGGGAATTAATTTCTGTATAATAATGAGCTTTTAGTCTTCATTAGGGCCTGAGTTATGAACTTTCTAGTGATTCAAAGAAAATTTGGTTGTTTCAAGATGCTGGTACCAGCTGCAGTAGGAAGATGAAGTTGCATAGTTATGACATCGGATCCAAGCACTTTGCATACCATACTAAAATCTGAGGTATACTCGTACATGGCTCACTGCTGTGTTCTATAACTATTTCAAGATCACTTTCTTTATGGACTCACTAGAGAACTTGTGTGTTCATGGTATGGTCTTTGTGTTTTTACATATCATGTAATGGCTTGTATGGTTTCCTGGGTTAGGCTCCTCATTTATAGCCCCTCGTGATTATCTAGACATGTTCTGGAGCAGAAGTAATGCTGAAGTGTGTTATAAATAATATTTATGAATTCAGTATAACCACATAGAAAGGAGGAATTTTGTGTTGGAGCGATGTCTTACATATGTAGAGAAATTATGGAAGTTAACCACTGTACAGTGAAACCTCGATTTGTCATTGAATTTCTGTGGTTTCTGAACAAATCCTATGTAAACTATGGAAATAAAGCCTGCATCAGTCAGTCTTTAGTTGTCATTTTCCCACATCTGTTGGGCTGAATTTTTAGTCCCAAAGAACAGTAATTCCAGATTGATTGTTTTTAATACTTTGTGGACCGGAAATTTAAATATTTAAATCGCCCTGGGGACCAGCATTTTTTTTACCTACTACTGTAACTTGTGCACTGCTCACTTTAAAAATTAATATAAAATCTCCTAATTAATTTTATGAACTAAAATTTTTTAGAACACTTACCAGTGCTCCTAGAAATTGCTTGAGGGTGTGATATTTCTCGAAACATTCCCCTCTGTGAAGTGGCATTACACAAAACTTGCAAATGTAGACAGTCGTACTCCTTTTCTTGTGAACTGCGCAAACATGGCATTGCCTAGAAGGATGCTTCCCCTTGAAATGTTCACTCTTCACAATTTTTGCGAGGGTATGTTTCTTCATATCACCCGAGAGTCACCCAGGGGGGTCAAAATGAGGCCTGCGTTGGGTGGGAGTAGACGGGCCCAGTCGCACTGAGACTGTGTCTGCTGCCACCGTGTGGTCTGTAGCCCAGGCTTTTGCCACATTCAGCAGAAATGCCTTGTATTTCAATTTTGAATGAGGGTTTAGATTTTTCAAAACCAAAAATGAATTGAAAATGGCACAATTTATAAGCCACAAGGCAACTTTCTTTGTCCACTTTACTGTTTTCTGAGGACGAGAATAATTGGCCAAGTACTGATCGGCTCTATCAACTCCCTTCATGAACATATTATACTCGGAAATACAAACAGGCTTCTTTACCTGTCCATGTCTCCTTTGAACATCAACCATGCTCGAATTGTGAATTGTGGAAATCATATTCACAACACGAGTATCCCTCCAGGACTGAAGAAGAATATCCCCCTTCCTCCTGAATGTGGTTTCACCACATTTCAGGGATTTACATTCCTCTTTCAGCTCTGGAGGAAGGCCTCTGTTCACCCTAATTGTTCCACAAACACGTACTTTTCTCGAAAGTAGGTGTTCTGCAGTTTCCACACTGTTATAATAATTGTCTTGATAGACATGGATAGGGTTCCAAAATGGAAATAATAGTTTCTTGTAATTTCTTTCCTTCAGTAACTACATGAACAAGTAGGCCATACTTTGTAAGTTTCCAGGATTATATTTTCGCATATTGCACTACTCACTGACAGCATGCTACGTACAGCTTGAAGAAATAAAGGCATTTATTTTCCTTTGCAGGGGCATACAGTTACAGTGAAGTCACATAACTGATTAGTCAGTAAACATTCCAGAGGCTTATCACGCAGCTACAGGCAGCTACGTGCAAGCTGGCTGCTGCCAGAGAGATGTATAGTGTGTTGCAACTTATTGTGTTCTAAAAATGTATTAATACGCAACCAGTCCGCCACATTTAAAAGCGAAAAACATATTAATGCGTGCATGGTCTGCAAAGCGTTAAGAAAGAGAAACACCACACACACATGGATGTTTATATGCATATTCAATAATAACAGCAGTTGATGTCTTTTGGATTGTGGTATAACAAGTTGCAGTATTGGTTCCTTACCGTTAGCTGTGTTTTGCGCAACTGTGAGGTGTCATACCTACCAGAGAATGAGCTGGAGGGGAAGGGGGCTGCCGAGAGCATGGGCCAGCTGGGAAAACTTTCCTGTATGTTAGTGTGAATTATCTCAGTTCGTGCTGTCGCCTAGTTTGAGTACATGGTTCATCATGTGTGTTTGATCCTCTACAGTGCTTCATGTATTGTTAGTGGAATGGTTATCTTTAAAATAATTTTCTCCCACATAGCATTTTCTGTGAAACAAGTTTGGACTTCAGAAGAATGACTGCACATCATAGAAGAAGTGGAGAAAAACCCATCAGAGAAGAGGATTGACGTAGTCAAGCGACTAGGCCTCCCACCGTTAACCCTAAAATTAATCATAAGCACAATAGACCACTGCAGGTCGTGGTGCAAGGCCCGAGAAGGCCCACCCCTTATACATTCATTCATTCAAAATCAATCATTTTGAAGAAAGGGGAGATCAGAGCAGGTTGATAAGTGTGGTAGATCAACCAAGAAGAGGAAGATGGGCAAGGAGTCGACCTATGGCAAGCTGGAAAACGTCTTCTTTGCCTGGTACCAGCAGGCCTGAGCATCAGGCATACCTGCGGATGGGCTGGGGAGATTGCTGCTGTGGACCTCTGGTTCGAAAGACTTCTGGAACTGCTATAGGTCTGTGAGGCTTGGGACATCTATAATGCAGGTGGAACAGGTCACTTTTTCCAACTGCCTGCCAGACCAAATGCTGGCATTGAAAGGAGAGACCTACCATGGAGGAAAAAGTGTGAAAGAGCAACTTGTGATGCTGCCATTCACAAACAGCAATTGCTCAGCCAAATGAGTGCCATCGTTATTGGGAAGTTTGCGAAACCACTGCGCTTCAAAAATGCCAATTCAAAAGCATCAGTGATTTTCAGAGACTTTTTATGTGTTGTTGATGCATCATTCAGTGCACTAGACAGGAAAATCCTCCACATTGTAGATAATAATGCTGCTCATGCTCGAGATACATCCCCTTTGAGGAATGTGAAGGTGGTTTTTACCCCCCCGAACTGCACCATTGTCACACAGCCTCTTGATTTGGATCTGATCAAGAGATTTGAACCAGTGAACAGGAAGTAGCCTGTGCAGAGGGCTGTATGTTTGATGGTCCAACTCAAGATCGACATCCTGCTTGCCATTCACTTCATTTTTTTGGCGTGGCAACAAGTGGCCCAGTCCACATTCCAGAACTATTTTGTGAAATGTGGCCATGCGAAGAAGACTCGAGATGGAGGTCGATGGAAGTGGTGAGGATGACATCACGCAAAATGAAGACTGGGTTCGGCTTGGGGAAGCACCGCTGGTGTGGAGTTTGTTGTCTCCGTGTCTATGGACTAGGAGCTCAGGACTTACAGTCTGCTGTGTATGGGAAAAATGTGTGGTGTGGTGGGAAGTGGAAGTTGCATGTAGGAGGGACAAGGTGATGTGGTGATGATGACAATAAAGCCGAGTCCAAACCAGTGCCGAGCTTTACAGAAGCACTTTGTGCGTTTGAGTCAGTGAGAGTGTTCATATATGTTCGTAACACCAAATGAGACCAAGCTAACATCGTTAATATTGAAAGGGAAAGGTGCTACTAAACAAACAATGAGTAAAGACTTTTTTAAAAAGAAGTGATGCAAATTGTACTTGGCAGTGGAGATAATATAATTGGTATACGGTTTTTTATTTAGTATGTACATGCAGACAAATGTGGCAGTCCCCCTTCCCTGTAGGCCCCCACCTCTGTAGTGTTTTGTATCCATTTTTTTTCAGGACCCCTACAAAAAATGATGAATCGAGGTTTCGCTGTATATAATGGTATATTGTATATTTATTTGTTATTGCTTCCTACAGATATGCCTTTTGGAGAATGTTTACATGTTAATTTGTGTTAAAATGTGCTGCGCTGATTAGATAAAATTATGTAGTTAAAATGGGGTAATAGGTACATGTTTTGATTAGGAATGCAGTATTGAATTTGAGGATAGGTGTCTGGTTAGCCCTGTTAAAAAGTAAATGATGCAAATCAGATGGACTGTAATAATTAAAATCAAGTTGTAGTTTAAAGTTTGAAGGTGCATCTGCTGTGGGTTGCAGGTGTGCACATGGATGTGATCATTTCATATTGTGTTCCGACAGGGGGTTGTTTATACTATGTGTATCCTATATTGTAGTTTAGTTTCCAGTCTTTGTAGTATTTGTTTTGAGTTTTGAGATGTTTTAGGCTGGAGGGGTATGTGTTATGGTTGAAATCTGAGATGTAGACTATGTAAGGTTTGCTTATGTGTCTGAAATTATAGGGTGTATGTTTTGGGGACTACAGGCAATACAGCACAGTTGCTATTGTGTACTCTTTTCCAGTTCA